TTTTATGCGCTTGAGAAGTCTTGTCAAAGTGGGCCTAGCAGGTTTAAACATGGTTAACAGAGCAGAGGAACCATGAAGCTCATTCAAGGAGCTGATTCAGAATGCAATGGATCAAGCTTAAAGGCTTTCCTGCCTGGTTGGACAGGGCCACAAAGTGACTCATAAAGAAGAAAATAAAGGCATTTAAGGCCATGAACTATAAAGCCACAGAGAAAAGACGGACCCATTACCAGAAGATATGCCAGGAATGTAAGAAAGGTATCAGAATGGCAAAGAAACATTTTGAACTGAACATGACAAGAGATGCAAATAAATGCATACCCAGTAATAGATGCAATAAAAAGGGTTTTAGTTACATTAAGAGAAAAAGAAAAATGAGGGATGGAATAGGGCCATTGAAGGTGGAATCTGGTGAGGATATGAAAAATGATGCTGCACAAGCTGCAAAAGTACTAAATACCTTTTTTGCCTCAGATTTTAGTAAAGAGGAGATAGGAAATTTATCGGATCTGGAAACAGAACTTAGTGGTGTTGCAACGGCAAGTTGTAACACTATACATATCATTATATTATATAGTCTATTCTGTGAAGCGCTTTGAGACGTCGAGAAGACGTGAAAAGCGCTATATCAAATGCAAGGATTATTATTATTATTATTATCAGCATTATTGCCGAACAACTTTGCAAACTTAAGGTAAACAGATCCCAAGGGCCGGATAAGTTGAATCCAAGAATCTTTAAGGAACTAAAGGAGGAAATTGCAGGAACTCTGGCACAAATCTTTCAAAAATCACTGATATTCGTGAGGTGCCTGGGGCGTGGAGAAAGACAGAATTTACTCCTGTTCTTAAAAAAAGTAGCATAAGTGACCCAGGAAACTACAGATCAGTGAGTTTGACGTCCATTATAGGTAAAGTTATGGAGGCTCTTACACAAAATATGATCATGGAGCATCTGGACTGTAATAAAATGATATAAGATAGCCAATATGGGTTCATGATGGGGCGATCCTGCCCAACTAATTGACTGTGTGGCAAAGGAGCTTGGTAAAAGGAAGGCAGTGGATGTTGTATATCTACATTTCAGTAAGGTCTTTGGTACAGTTCCTCTTGAAAGGCTGGTACTGAAAATGAAGAAAGCGTGAATCAGAGGAAGTACAGGAAATTCATCAGGCTGGGAGAATGGTTACCAATGGAGTTCCACAGGAGTCTGTTTTGGGACCTCTTTTATTTAATATTTTTATAAATGATCTGCAGCTAAGAGTCACAAGCACGATGGCTAAATTTGCAGATGACACGAAGCTAATGAAGCTGCAAAGATAAATAATAATATAATAATCCTTTCATTTGATATAGCGCCTTATCACGTCTTCAAGACATCTCAAAGTGCTTCACAATTGACATGCCAATTGACTGTATCTTTTCTGGGCGAAACGCAGCAGTTAACTGCACAAAGCAATGTCCCACAAACAGTCATGGATTGAGATGACCAGGATAGGTTACAGGAGGACTTAAACATACTTGGAAATTGGGCAGATCAATGGCAGATGAAATACAATGTAGAAATACAACGTGCTTTGCATGGGTGCAAAAAAAATCCAGGAATGGACTATTATTTAAATGGGAAGAAAATAATCCACATGGAAAATGAAAAGGACCTGGGGATTCTGACTGATAATAAGTTGAAGCTCGGTAGCAGTGAGTAAGGCAAACCAGATGCTGTGTTGCATTGAAAGGGCAATATTGAGCCAAAATAGTGGGGTAATCCTGACACTTTATAAATCACTGGTGTAACCACACTTGGAATACTGTGTGCAGTTCTGGTCACCACGAAATGAAAAAGATATTGCAGCGACTGAGAGGATCCAGAAAAGGGCAAGCAAAATGATTGAGGGGATGAAGGGACTGGACTATAAGGAGCGATTAGGTAAACTGAGCATGTTCACCCTGGGTAAGAGAAACTCCCTTCTCTTTTAGAATAGTGACATGGGATCTTTAACATCCACCTGAAAAGGCAGAGAGGACCTCAGTTTTACATCTCATTCAAAAGACATCACCTCCAAAGGACAACACCCTCCCAGCACTGTATCGGAGTGTCAGGTTAGACGACATGATTCCAAGTCCCGACGTGGAGCAACTTTCTGACTCAGAAGAGAGAGTGCTACCACTCTGCCAGACTGACACACAAGAAGAAATACTAAAAGAAAACACCAAACTGTAACTTCTGTTGTATTCCTTTACTGGTTTTGCATCCTGCTTAATCCTCCAGAGAGTTTTTCACAGAGCCCCAGTGTTTGTCTTCTACATGCTTGAACTTCTGTGTTATTTTTAGGTTTAGACTTTATTTCAATATCACATCCAGTGATAACAAGAACTTAAGTGTTCCCTCACTTCCATCTCACACTCATCTTTTTTTCTTGGCGAATGCCTTGATACATACTCTCACATCTGTCCTGAGTCTCTTCCACACATGTTGTGGTAAGAAGCAGCCCTGAATTCCCCATCTGTGAACTTGTTTTGGTGTTTGAACATTTCCCTTTCCTTCCTTGTCCCTGCCGCATTTCACAAGATCATAAGATCGTTTTGGATGAAGAAGGCCTTTTTGGCCCATTTGATCTCATCCCTCCAGAACACCCATCCCATTGCCCCCCCCCACCCATCACAGCATCAAGCTGTTCCCCAAATCAGTCCAGTGTCCTGGCCTCAAATAAATTTCCTGGTAACCTGTTCCAGCCATCGATCGCCCTCTGTGCAAAGAAAAATGTCCTGATTGACAGGTCTTGGAATCACAAAGTCTAAGCTGACGTTCCAATGCAGTGCTACAACAAGATTACATTTGTACAGCGCTAGGGTGTGGTGCATTGTTAGAGGTGCTGTTCTTTAAATGAAATGTTAAACCAAGGTCCCGTCTGCCTTTCCAGGTGAATGTTAAAGATCTCGGGCGCTATTCGAAAAAAAAGGTTTCTCTCTCCCGGAGTCCTAGCCAACAATCCCCAAATAAAATTGATGACTATCTCCAGAGTTGTTTGTGGGACATTGCTGGGCGCAAACTGGCTGTTGTGTTTCACTCATAAAATTCATAGTCAAAACCATTTTACAGTATATCTTGTGAAGCAATTTGAGACATCTCAGCGATATGATAAGGCACTATATCATATGTAAGGATTATTGTTATCTGTTCCAAAATTGCCCTTTACAACTCCAAAGCTATGTCCTCCTGCTCCACTGTCACAAGATTTATCTTAATAATAAATCCTTTTACTTGATATAGCCCCTTATCACATCTTCGAGACGTCTCAAAGCGCTTCACAGAATATACTGTAAAGGGAATTGACCATATTTTGTGGGAGAAACGTGGCAGCAAATTGCACATAGCAGTGTCCCATATACAGTTGTGGATTGAGTGACCACATTTTTTATTACCCCCGGAAACGACTAGTAACCTGGTTAAGAGTAAGAAACTTGTCTTACGTTTGCCCTGCCCAGGAGTCAAACCCAGGTCCCCTCACTTATGAGGCGATTGCTCTAACCAATATGCTACAGGACTTGCTGTTCTTGCCAACTTCTGAAGGTTTGTGACCTTGAGCTCACAGTCTTGCCTGAGACTCCTATATAGTACTGTGAGAGCGCTGCATTGTTTGAGGTTTAGATGAGACATTAAGCGATGTCCCATCTGCCTGTTCATGTGGGCATTAAAGATCCCACGGTACTATTCAAAAAGACAAGGGAGTTTCTCTCTCCCGGTGTCATGGTCAACTATCTGCCAAATAAAATTGGTGACGCTCTCCAACAGGAAAGGCACTGTATAAACACAGGGATTATTTATCTGCCTGTCTCTGCTGGCAGTATTGAAAAGGGAATTGGTCCGAAAGGCGGTGTCTGCATTCGATTGACAGAGCAGAGGTGACTCCACGTCCAATCTCCATTTGCACAGGGGATAGACAGTGCTGCTGCGCTTTTGACCTCAATGAGACATCTCAAAGCGCTTCACAGAATATATTGTTAGAGTGGATTGACTGTGTGAACGTGACAGCCAATTGCGCACAGCAGTGTCCCAAAACAATTGTGGATTAAGTGACCACATTTGTTTTGGAGGGATTATTACTGATGGAAGCGATCCGCCAATTGATTAACAACCTAATAACAACTGCTTGGTAAACAGAGGTGTGTGGATTAAGGAAACTTGCTCAAGGTTTCGCTTGTCATCAATGTGTTTCTTTTCCCCCTGTTGATATCTGGCATGATCACTTGCTTTGAGGAGTGCTGTGCAGCACCTTCTGTTGCCATGGCGCTAAGGATGGTTGCTAAGGATCACCACTGTGGCCCTGCAGCACTTTCATTTTGCAAATCATTTTTCATTTCCAGAAGAATTGGTTGCATAAAACCTGTATTCATCATCGTGGAAACCACAGTTCCTTTGGCATCCGGGAATCACACCGTGTATTATTCAGCGCAAATCTTACCAGGCAAATGCATGACGGGGTCAGGGGCCAGAGCAACTGATATCTGCTTATTTTATCCTTGTGCAAACAATGCCTGTTGAGGTTTACGTGAGAGATCCCACGGCACGACTCAAAAAAGAGACGGGCATTTCTCCTAGTATCCTGGCCAACAAAACTAGACTAAAGTGGAGTCCCGAGGGAGTGGTTAGAGTGCTCGCCTTGCAAGCGAAGAGGATGTGGGGTACGATTACTGGGTGGGGTGAAATCTGAGATAACTTTCCTTACTCCTCTGTTTCCCTTGTAGTAAGCAGGAACCCAGTTGTTAGTCGATTGGTAGATCGCTTTTCGGGGGTAATAATCACTCAATCCATGACTGTTTGTGGGACACTGCTGGGTGCATTTGGCTGCCCCTTTTCGCCCACAAAATCCACAGTCAATCCACTTTCCAATATATTCTGTGAAGCACTTTGGGACGTCTCAATGACGTGATAAGGCATTATGTCAAATGCAATGATTATTATTATTATTGAGTGAGGTCTTGTTCTATTGTATCTTACAGAACAATGGGCTACAAGAACAGATACCTGAAGGTTCCCAATGGCCACTTCTGGATTGAAGGCGATCACCACGGACACAGTTTTGACAGCAATGCCTTTGGACCTGTAAGTCAATGTTTCCCTTCAAAACAGCCTCCAAACACCTCACTGTGTTTGTGTTTTGTTGCATTTGCAAAAAGCAGATGCTTAAATCATAGAGAAAACTCAACTCAAATCAGAAAACAGCAAGTTCTTCCGTATTATCGTGAACAAAACTCAAGGAAATACAAGCCAAATTTATGCAATTTTTCTCATAGTTTAACTCTTTAAATCCTGGTATCATTCTGATGATATATCATTGAATGTCATCGAGTGAGGTCTTGTTCATTGTTTCTTACAATTCACAGAAAATGTGTTTTCACATGTTTTTGCCATGTTTTCAGTACGGCTTGATACCCGAACAGACCCTGTCAAGTTACATAACCATTTGAATTCACATTAGGTTTCCGCAGGTCATGCAGAGATATTGAAAGAATTTTAAAAAAAATTCNAAAAAAGAACATTGCGGGTCTTGTTCTATCGAATATCGTGTTATTTTAAATTGCGTATGTTCCCATCGGAGACACCGACTGACATTGTGCATGGTGAAAACAAGTGGGAGTGTTAGAGTTGAACACCTTGCCGAGTAGGGTGGTGGAGGCTGAGTCCATTGTAGCTTTCAAGAGGCAAGTAGACAGGTGTAGGAAAAAGAGGGTCTTGGCAGTGTATGGGGATAAGGCGGGATTGAAGCGATATACTTGCTCTGTGAGCCAGTGCAGGTTTAATGGGCTAAATTTCAGAAAGTGTTTCTATGGTTTCAGTGGATGTAACTGAGCGCTGGTGGAATAGCCAACCTCCCCAGCATATTGTTTTCACCAGCATATTGTTGACAACAACTTAAGTCCACCATCAATCATAAGACAATACAATATAAGATTACATTTTACACGCGCTGTAGTTAGACAAGGTAGATAAGACAGATAGAGAAGGGGTGATACGCAGGTGTAGAGAGAGAGTTCCAGAGGTTAGGGACATAGCAGAGCAGAGAGGGCAAGCAGGAGTTTAATAATTCTTACATTTGATATAGCGCCTTATCATGTTGTCGTCGAGACTTCTCAAAGCACTTCACTGGATTAACTGTAAAGTATAGTGACTGGGTATTTTGTGGGCAAAAACATGGCAGCCAGTTTTACGTTTGTTAGCTAGGAGATGGAGAGAGAAACACGCTTCTCTTCTCGAATAGTGCAATGGCATTTTTAACGTTTACCTGAACAAGCAGTCGGGGGACCTTGGTTTAATATCTCATCTGAAGGAAGGCACCTCTAACAATGCAACACACCTCAGCACTGCATTGAAACATCAGCGTAGACGATGTGATTCCAAGTCGCGACGTGGGGATTTAACCCACTCTGCTCGCTGGGCGTGGCAATGCTGATTTAGATGTAACATTATTAAAGATCTGCCAGCTCTTAAACACTGTTAAAAAAAAACTTGCAGGATCGTTGAAAGGAAAACTGTCGAAAGGGAATGTTTTCAAGTGTGATAGCTCCCTTTGCTGTAGTTGGACTACAGCAGACGAGAAACCAAAGGCTCATTCGTTCCTCAAGGTAATCTCGACTCATTTGTCACCACTCAGCTCAGCAGCGTCTGAACCTGCAGCTACACGGATGGCATTGAATAAGTGCTAACTGCCCTACATGTTCTTTAAATACATTTAATGTTATGTAACACACCCAATTTAGTCATGCACACCTTTGCACAGATTTCACACCGGAAATTTAACTCTCCCATCGTAACAACAATTACGGGTATTGGTTACTCTTTCCCTACCAGTGAGTTTTACCAGTGATGAGTGTGTGAGCTCCCAGTGACTAGTGGGTGAGCTCTCAGTGACTAGTGTGTGAGCTCTTATTGACTAGTATTTCTTTCTCCTGACCACTCTCCTGCTAGAACAACAACAAGATTTCATTTATAGAACGCCTTTCACATCGGGAGGACGTCCCAAGGCGGTGGACAGTTGGGTCGGGACACGAGCAGGGGGGAAATGGTCAGGGTGAGGGGAGGGAAGGGAGGGAGCGAGGAGTGGGTAGAGAGTCGAGAGGGGAGCTGAAGGCACGATCGAAGAGAAAGGCCTTGAAGGAGGAAAGGGAGGAGGTAAGGCGAAGGCACTGGGGGATGGAGTTCCAGAGCCTAGGGGCTGAGAGGCTGAAGGCCCGGCCACCGTTGGGGGATGTGGAGCAGACCGGAGCCAGAGGAACGGAGGGTACGGGCAGGTAAGTAAGGGGATAGTAGGTCAGAGACGTAGGAGGGAGCAAGGCCGTGAATGGCCTTGTAGGTGAGGATGAGGATCTTGAATTCGAGATGTCAACATACCTCCTGCAGTATAAGTAATAATCCTTGCATTTGATATAACACATTATCATGTCGTTGTAAGATTCAGAAGGAGAAAACCGAAAAGTTGGTGTATAATTCTTGAATTTACTAAAAATAGATTAGCAATTGTCAACAAGTCAGACTGTTAGTTTAACAAATCCTTCAAGTTGAGACAATAGATTCAGTAAAACCAATGTTACCGCTTCCCACTGGGAAGAAACGTTGACCCTCGATGACGACTGGAGTGATTGCGTATCATTGCGTTTTCTTGAGGATCATGAGAGGAAAACTAGAGACAAAGGCAGGGTGCCTCATGAATCAGACGAGGGAAGGGGAGACAGAGTTAAAAAGCACTTGAAAGAAGTAACTTTGGAATAGTTGGAGTTGTTGTAGTGAGCCAAAGTTGGTCATCAAAAGTGCGCTAGAATCTCTTCAGTATTTGCAGCAGGTGTACGAACTGCGTTTCTGTGTGTGAAAATTCCACAGAGAGAAAAAAATGTAAATCAAATTCTCAGCACTGTTAACTGGAGAAGCATTGGAGTTTTCTCACTGGGGATTACCCAGCTAACTTTTGTGCAAACAAAGTGTCCCTTGGGGGCCACTTTGCCAATATTATCGTCTTGAAGTAACATCAGCAAAATGTTCCCATGTGGTAGTGAGTGCTGCCGTTTATAAATGAAATGAACTATTGGCAATACGTATCTGCAAGCACAAGACTGTTCAGGAACATTGTACCTCAGAGATGAGCTGGGTTAAAGACACAAGAAATTAATGTGTCATTTAAGTGCCTTGAAGATCACTCTAAAGCAGGTCTTGCAAGCTTACAGCAGATATTGTAGGCAGAACTGCTTCCTTGTTCCGATCTGGGATTGACATGAAGTGAAAGCTCAAAAAGTGAAAGCAGTTAGTGTTGCACATTGATGCAAGATGTGTAGTTTCCACAGTGGCACAGCTCTTCCTGTCCAGTCTATGTGGTACTCATTGAAATAGTGTAATTTTCGTACCCCGCTGCTTAATGGCGCAATTACTCAGTGGCATTTAATTTCCAATCACTGGAGAGTAATTTGTGACGTTTTGCAAATGCATTTGCAAATAGCTAATCCTGCAGGTACCTGGATGTGTCACCGGAGCGCCTACTTGGCTGCCAATGTCTTGTCAGGCTTCCTGCTGTGGAGTCCTGTAGAGTAGTGATTGGAGTGCTTGCCTCGCAAACAAGAGAACCCGCGTTCAATTCCCGGCTGGGGCAAAACCTCAGGGAAGCTTCCTTACACCACACACCTTTATTTACCTAGCAGTAAATAGGAACCCATTGTTAATCAATTGGAGGATCGCTTTCTGGGAATGATAATCCAACCAAAATAAATAAATAATTTGGTCACCGAATCCATGACTGTTTGTGGGACAGTGCTGTGTGCAATTGGTTGCTGCATTTCGCCCACAAATACAGTCAATCCAATAATAATCCAATCCAATGATAAATGCTATATCAAATGCAAGGATTATTATTTATTGAATTTACGCAGCCTTTCATCAAAGAGAAGCCATATGTTCATGTGAATGTGTTTCTTTTCACACCATAGTGCCTGACTGCTTCAGTCACTTAAGGATTGCAGTCACATGCAAGCGGATGATTTCTGGAGGGTCGTAGCCTGTACTCTCTAACTTTGACTACGGACAGCTCAGCTGCTCAACGCTGATCCCACAGCTTTTCAGTTCTACATTGACAGTACAGTGAGGTGCAAAATGGTGCCGTCAAACCACAATGGTATTGCTTTGCTGTTTGATGGTTCCCCTTTTCAGCTCACTGTCAGGCTCAACTATGCTAACTGGCTCCTCACTGGTCTTCCAAAGTCTTCCCTTCCCAAGCTGCAGATGATTCAGAACTCTGCAGCTTGTGTCCTCTCCCGCACCAGACTCTGTGAACCCATCACCCCCACCCTTGCCCGGCTCCACTGCTTCCGCATTCCCCAGAGCAATGTGGTTCAACCGGCATCTGGCTCCCCCTCCCTTCATATCATCTGGCCCACCTACTCCATCCATATGTTTCTGGAAAAGTGACACAAAAATATTGCTTATGCGGCCCACGGACTTTGTCAAATAGGGCATTTGGCTCTTGGCAGCCAAAAGGTTGGACCACCCTGCCCCAGAGAATAGAGTTCAAAATCCTTGTCCTCATTTTCAAAGCCCTCCACAGCATCGCTCTTCCCTACCTCTGTGACCTGCTAACTCCATACTGATCTGTCCACTCTCTCCGCTCAGCGGACTCCAGCCTGCTCCATGTCCCCCTCCGGGCCCGCCCCACCATCAGAGGTTGGACCTACAGTCTCTCTGCCCCCAACCTTTGGAACTCCATCCCACAGTCCCTTCGCTTTGCTCCCTCAGTTGCCTCCTTCAAGGCCCATCTTAAGACCCTCTTCTTTGAGCATACCGTGGGTCACCCTCCTACTCTCCACAACAACATCTTGTATTTAAATAGCGCCCTTCACGTCTCCACCACTCCTGATCCCAACCCCCAGCTCGGGTGCCAATCCTTAACTGTCCTATGCCTTGGGACATCCTCTCAATGTGAAAGCTGCTACACAAATGTAACTTGTTATTGTTGCTTTAGTATTTGTCAATCTTAACAATTAATTTACAAGTTAACAGCCTCCAGGTCCTGCCAGATGCTGGCTTACCCTCTGCTTGCCGCTGCAATACAGAATATACAAGTGGCT